TCTCTCCTTTCCCTCCCCCTGTTTTTCACCCCCCCGACCTGGAAGTGAATCCGCCTGCGCCGGCCGGGAAGCCCAGCCGAGCCCGCCTCCCTTAAAGGGGCCGCGCCGGGCAGACGAGGGGGCAGCGGGAACCCCCCAACGCAGCTCACGGGCTACAAACCATGGGGTGTCAGGGGGGGGGTTTGTTACGCACCCGAGCCTGGCGTGTCAGAGGGGGTGTGAGACCCGGAGCCGGGGGGGAGCCCATCCCATGTCTGCGGCAGGGGGGGCTCTGACAGCCTGGAGTTCAGCCTCATCCCTGCTGCTCACGGATTAACCTCTCTAAGTTAAACGTTTCCTGCCCAAAGGAGTTTACTCTGGAAATATGAACAGTAGGCTCGTGTACAATAGGTTTGGCCACCTGCTTCGAAGTTGGAGAGGAGCTTTTATACAAAATTATTTCGGTAGCAGTGATGAAAACCTGTCTCCCAACAAATACATACTACAGTCTGTTGCTGGTAAAGAGAAGAGAGTTGTATTTTGTTTCAGGTCGCAAAGCAAAGAGTGAAAGAGTTACCTTGTCCTCCAAGGAAAATGAAATTACAAAGAGTTTACTGTCAAACCTTTGAAATTTAAATTCTAATTTAAGACTTGCTGGGTTTACACACAGCAGCTTTAAATAATACTTGTTTTCAAAGCAGCAAAATGCTTAAATAAACATTAAGGAACAATTGCTAAAATGATTTATGTTTCCATCATTAGAAGATGACAAATTTTATCAAACACAAATTTTGCCTGTCAAAGGACTGCATAACAAAGGTTATAGTCCTGATTCTTTAGACGTTGACGAAAAGAAAATGAGTGACATGCTCAGGATCTCACAAGAACAGAATCAAAAGTCCTTGTGTTTGGAATGTAACCACTTGGGGTGCCCTACACAGGCACAGGAGTTGGACTCGATGATCCTGATGGGTCCCATCCCACTCAGCATATTCTATGGTTCTAAAAAATCTCATCTGCTTAGAATAAATTGTTTATAAAATATGGATAGATAAGTAAAGGGCGTTATTCTTAGTCCATGTTTCTTCCATTCAGCTTCCAAAGGCCATCTCCAGAACAGAGGACTACCCACAAAAATTCTCAGTGTGGCCCAAACCAGGGATTTTCTTGCTTTCTCTCTCACAAACATGTCAGTGGTTTTGGTTGACACATTTTGAAAACAAGATTTTAGCTTGTGGGGTAATGGTTTTAAACTGAAAGAGTGAAGATTTAGGTTAGACATCAGGAAGAAACTCTTCACCAGGAGGGCAGTAAGGTGCTGGAACAGGTTGCCCAGGGAGGCTGTGGAAGCCCCTCCCTGGAGGTGTTCAAGGCCAGGTTGGATGAGGCTTGTGCAGCCTGGTCTGGTGTGAGGTGTCCCTGCTCATGGCAGGGGGGTTGGGACCTGATGGTCTTTCAGGTCCCTTCCAACCTTAACCATTCTATGGCAACTCCAACCCAAATACTGAAAACTGTGCAAAGTTCTAAGGAAAACACTTAACAGGAATTGTCAGTGGCATTTCGGCAGCAGGCCCTGCAGGTGGTGCCACCGGCCCGAGCAGCAGCGGGTGTCTCAATTAGCTCCAGCCATTAATGGACAATCACGTTTCTTCCCGGGAGAGCCTGTGCACAGGGTTTAACGAGCTTCATTTACCCAAGAAGCGTGGCAGGCTGGCCTTGTCTTACTGAAATCATTTGCAGCAAAGCATTCTCAAACGCTGATTGAAACTAATTTTAACTCTGAGCAACTTGCTGTGTACATTTCCAACGTGCTGCTGCTGCACTCTCGGAACATTCCGTTTGTGCTCAAACCGGCGGGAATTGGATAGGGAGCCGTATTTTGTGTACGTATCCTGACCAGCTCCGGCTTCAATTCACCCGTGGCTAGAGAAGCAGGGTTTGCTGTGTGTTGTTAATTGCTTACCTGTCTCCAGCTGTTCCTGACAACCCTGACAGTGTCTGCTGGGACAGACTGGACGCAGCGTTCCCATCTCTTCAACAAGCACCTGTGAGATCTCTTGTTGTACCACAAAAAGGCGTGGTTGCTGGCGATGGCCACCAGCAGCAGCTCCCCCCTTTCTGACAACTAGTTTTACATTATTTTGCCGTTAAACGGAGGCCAAAACACGCCAGGAGCGAGCCGGACACCGGTAAAGCGGCCCTGGCTTCCAGCCCATGAGCGCTCGGGGGCTGCACCGTCCTGAGCAACCGCCCTCAGAACGTGTCACCCCGGCGCGCGGCGCTAACGGCGCTTCCC